CTTTCTCTGTCAGTGGACCTTTCCCTATCCAACCCTCAAGTGTGTGTGTGTGTGTGTGTGTGTGTGTGTGTGTGCTGGAAGGACAATTTATACAGTTCCAGGGTAGTTTTGATCCTGACTTTCCTTTTGGCTACCAATGCAGGTTTGTATAAATACTTGTACTGGCATTTTCTCAGAGCTTTACTCTACATGAGGGACTTCCAGTGTAGCTACATCAGTGTAATCGTGCCAGTGCGAAGCCCTCATGTAGAAGCATTGTGCCAGTATAAAGCGAACCTTGCACTAAGGCAACTTTTTACCCCTGTTTCAAACAGAGCAAACTAGCTAAGAGGATCCAGAGCTTCAGGAGAGATCCTTTGCCACCATCCCTGTGTATGTTTGTCTTGTCTTGCATCAAGTCATTCCCCAAGGTGATCAGTATCATGCTGCTGCTCTTGCTGCTCAGAAAATACTATGAGCAGTAGAAAAGCATTAGAAATACACAGGATTCCTGTGGTCCCATGTCCCTTTTGAGTCTCCCATCAGTGGAGTTACTCTTGCATGTCAAAGGGAAAATAGACCTCTTGTATGGTATGTTTGGCTTTAGCAATGTGGTTGAATTTAATGATCTGAGGAAAAGGGCAACCAATAGGGTCATTCAGGAAACAGCAAGCATAGTTTAAACAAGATCTCTAAATTTAGACTCCTCCTGGATTTTTAACTCTGCAGAGATTGCTGCCTCCTATGACTTGAAGCTTCTGCTCATAGATACTCTGTGGCTACAATGAGGTCATTGTACGTACGTACTTGGTGACTGCTGGGTGCCCAAAAAGTGTGACACTGCCTACCACTGTAGTTTATTGCAGATTATATTGTCAATCCTAAAATTACATTTAAAGTAATTAATTTTGTCTCTTTCAGTTTTATCTTTTCACAGATTACCTGTTTAATAGAAAGATATTGGAGGGCGAAAAGTGAGGAGAATTTGTGCCTTGTGAAGTAGAAAATTATTATTTGGGGGATGGAGGGGAAGAATGCGGTCTTCTGCTTGTACCATAGTGTAAGATTTGTGGTGGGGGGAGAGAGAGAGACTATCAAGGGTGGGTGATAGAACATGAGTTGAAATCCATTATAAATTTCTGTTGGACTGAAGTCTCAGCTCCCTAGAGCTATGTCGTAGAAATATTCTGATATTGAATTTGACAGCCCTTCCATCATCATAAATACTTAAGATCAAACTCTGTCCTCTGATACTTGTGTGCAACTCCTTTTTGATGTCACTGGGAATTATGCATATGTGTATGAAGACAGAATTTGGTCCTTATAGAACTATATGCCTTTTCATACTTTAAAGGTGCTCCAGTAGGTCTTGGAGTAAAGTGTTGTTGGGTTTTGTGGTGGTGTGTGGGTTTGGTTTTTTTTTTAAGTTTTAAAGGGACACTGTCAACTCAAATTGTAGGGTTTTTTAAAACTTTTTTCAGAAAGTGTAAGTCTGATGAAAATATTTCCATGATTGCTTTAAAATTCCAAAGAAAACAATGACATTAGTAAACAAAATAACCATTTCTTGCAGGTTTGCATTACACAAACCTTGCAGTATTGAGGACCCAACATTGGGTGGATGTGTGGGGGGGGGAACTATAAGGAAAAAATGAAATTGACTTCAATGAATTACATTTTTTCCAAGCTGAGAGAAATCTAAAAACTAAACCAACAGCATCACCAGTGAAAAGAAAATACATTTTAAAAAATTCTTTTCATCTTAAAAATCTAGGGTGGTGTTAGAAACATAGAAAAGGAAATATATTCACTTTAATAATATTTGTTTAAGATGTCAGTGCCCCATAGCCTTTTATCTGAAGTGGTTAAAGTAATTCCTTGGGAGTATATTTTCAAATTTAGAATTGTGTGATGTCTTGTAACCATGAACTTTTACAAACATGACCACTTAATTTAATTTGACTGGTTTCTTTAAAGTCCTAATTGGGGGAAGGAGGAATACAATAAATAGCAGTAAAAATTTAGACTTCAGCCCATTGGTAATTAACATACATAAAAGTTACTGAGCACAGCTCCTCAGTATTAAGTAACACTGTATTCGGCATTTACTGTGTCATAGGTCAGAACATTCTAACTCAATAATTTAAATGAGGGTTTTGCTGGGTGAAACACCTGACTGCAGCCATGCAGCACCAAACATTTACTCATTTTTGTGATTATTTTGAAAGGTAATAGATATAAATCCAGCTTTATCCAGCACTAAACTGTCACTCCTTTCTAAGTTTCAGTATCTGTTAATTGTGTCCTTTGTTATACACCTCTACCCCAATATAACGCTGTCCTCGGGAGCCAAAAAATCTTACCGCGTTATAGGTGAAACGGCGTTATATCGAACTTGCTTTGACCCGCCGGAGTGCGCAGCCCCCCCCCGCCCAGAGCACTGCTTTACCATGTTATATCCGAATTCTTGTTATATCGGGTGGCGTTATATCGGGGTAGAGGTGTATTATATGGCATTTACATTGGTGCAAACCTTTTTTGTGCACTGGCTCAGTCTTATAGCAGCATCTTTCCACTGGAAATGAATTGAAGGCTTTTGGAAATGAATGTCATTTGGAACTCTAAATGTGGTTAATTGTATTTTCAATCAAATCAAAATGAACAATCACATTTTTAAATGATGTGTAATGTTCTCTGCTGTAATGTGCATTACCTAGTATTGCATCAGCAATTGGTTTTTCTGGTGGTGTAATCAGTAGGGCAAAACATACTGATGACTGTAGTGATGGATGACTACAGTGCTTGGCTGAATGCTTATAGTCTTAGAAATATTTTCATTGTTTTAATAGGGGACAATTGAATTGTCAGTCCAATGAGTAATTTATTACTGGTTGTATAGCTACCTTATATAGCACTGGTTTATAAAATAAAAGAGCATAGTGAAGAATACAGTAAAAGTTTGGATTCTGTTTTTTCAGCTGAAACTAGCTAAAGCATTTCAGTGTTTTGTGTTAGAAATGTATGCATAGGAGTACTTTTTTCATTCTTCACCTTAAAGTAGGTAATTTAATGAATCTTTAAACAGTACTGTATAATCTTGACAACCAGAATCAAAGAGTCTTGAAGGGGCCTTGTCTACACAGTCAAATCCAGTAATCAAATCTCTTAAGAATGTATTTTAAAAATGATGGGGGAGGGGATAGCTCAGTGGTTTGAGCATTGGCCTGCTAAACCCAGGGTTGTGAGTTCAGTCTGTAAGGGGGCCATTTAGGAATCGGGGGCAAAAATCTGATCTGATCTGTTTGGGGATTGGTCCTGCTTTGAGGACTAGATGACCTCCTGAGGCTCCTTCCAACCCTGATATTCTATGATCTATGAACAAAATACAGCAATTGCA